TATTTGAGCCAATGGTCCCGAAAGATGGGAAAACTATAACAAGACTGAAGTGAAGTGCAGGTCAACTAAGGTATTCTTAAAACAAGTAAAAGCAGGCCAATGACTTCAGATCTACAATTGATTTTCGTGAAATAAGACTATATAGCAGATTTTAGGTCACCTGAGCAAAACGTGTTCAAGGTAAATTATTGTTTTAGGGCTGTGTCCGTTTAACGGACAACAACTCTTTCTAACCTGCTATAATAATGTTTAAACTTGTGGCAGAAACTAGAGCTTGTCACAAGTGCAGAATACCCAAGACACGCGCTTGTCAGAAAACATACTTTTTTGTTCAAACTTTGCATATAGGGAGAATATTGTAGTTTATTGATTTTCTTTAATGTTTTTTGAATTATTTGTCCTACATCAATAAGATAGATTACAGTTTGGATTTGGAGTTTTCGGTTCTTATGCAATGCACTTCTACTCATTCGTATCTATCACTAAGAAAGTTTCAAGTTGATACTTTTTATAGTTCTCAAGTTATGTCCCATACAAAGTTCAAAGGGTAAAAATGAACTAAGGGCAATAAATCTAAAGTAAGGGAAAGAGAGTTACAGTTCTTATGCACCGCACGTATACTCATTTTAATCTATCTACCTACAAGATGTGAAGCTGATAACTCTTGCACATTCTGAGTTGTGTCCCGGACAAGAAATCTGCAACGGACCAACAAACGGACCGAATGGCCACAAGCTGACTCCAGTATACTTCCACAACTGATACCTTTGATGTCTACCAATTTTGTCTAAATTATAGCCTCGGAATAACAAAGTAAGCCCCTACGCGGTTGTTATTGCTTTTCCTTATACTAGTATGTGTTACATAAAAACATACAAATATACTTAAATAATCTTGAAGACAAAAGCTTTGATATTTGGTTTAAACAATTGTCTAGTTGACCACAGCCAAGTTTTTTTCCATATTAAAGCCTTGAAGTCATAATTGGCTTCTCTGTCTGGCGACCATTGGCTCCAATAGCAATAGCTTACGGTCCTACTCAGGTACCCATTTGTGCCTGATATAATGCACAGAAGGGCAAGTGAGGTCAGCCTCCACATGTATAGCTGGAACATCGATATAAAACCAATATTGTATCGGTGTGACGTAAAACCCAAACAAACAACCTCCAGTAGCCACCAGTGACTTTCAATAGAAACCTGTTACTTTCAATAACAACCACTGACTCTCCTCAGCAACTATTGACTTCCATAGCAACACTGACTTTCCTTAACAACCAGTGACTTTTCAAAGGAACCATTGACTTACAGTATGAATTAGAAATTGCCATAGCAATACAACTTTCCATAGCAACCAATTAATTTCAAAAGCAGCTATTAATTTAAATAACAACAATTTACTTATACGAAACCAGTAATCCCCAATTTGGTTTCTATAGTAACAATTAACTTTCTATACGAACCCTTGATGTTTCAAAGCAATCAGTGATTTCTGTAGCAAAAATTGATTTTCCTTTGCAAAAAGCGACCTCAATTGAACCAGTGGCTTACAGTAGCAACCATTGACTTACAAAGCAACAAATGACTTTTACTTTTTATGGCAACCCTTGGTTCTATTTGGATGGGTTTTACGTCCCACCAAAAACAGTGGTAATACAGCGACTTTACAGCTTTACTGCAGAAGAAAGATCTCTGGTGCCTATATGTGTATTATTTAAGGCACTAACGGGCACCTGAATGTAACCAACTGCATTGCGTAAGCAAGCTTCATAGCTTTCTCGCATGAAAGAATCTGAAGTGGCTTGCGCGACTCGAACTTACAGCAGTTAAAAAATGTTTTGAAACTAACGACCTTAACCACTCCGTCACAGACGCCCCTCAGGATCCATTGACTTTCCATAGCAACTAATGACTTGTCATAGAAACAATTCACTTTCTTTAGCAAACATATTTTTCCTTAGCAACTGTAGACTTCAATAGCTAATATTGCCTTTCCAAAGTCATTTCACAGAATTAATATTTTACCTTAGCAACTAGAGAATTGCACAGCAACCATTGACTTCATAACAACCCAGAACTTCTTAACATTTGGCTTGTCAACAAGTGACTTTTACATGTGCAATATTTCAGTTGAAGATTTGAACTTTTATATTTGTTGACCTAGACTTTGACTGAATACCTGCATTTCAATCATGGTTATTAGTACAATAGACTCATACTTTCAATTAGAGACTTTTTATATTTTTATAAAAGGAATGTTGATATTAAAATGCTTATAATGAAATGCTTACAGTTTAAAGCCTTATAAGAGTGATGGACGTATGGATGTAGTCTATGCTTGATGAGGCTTACAAACAATACCAACATAGAGAGTCTTGTAAAAACTTATGGGTATACAGTATAGCCTATCTTCATACTGCTGGAAGTGCTGGTGGCATAGGTTTGTTGTTATCAATATTTGCATTATAAAGAACTTGCTTTGTACACCTTGAAGTTCACCAAATGATGTTCTTACTCATTCTAAATATAAAATGCTAGAAATGTTATTTTTGCCTTACATTAAACATAAAACAAACATTTAAATTAGGGTAAATAAACAGCAAAAGTTAATAAAGTGTTTTTTACAATTTAATTCTATCAATACATTAGGTTTTATATTACAATGAAGTAGTGGGATAATGATGTCTAATAAAAGTACTATTTTTATCATCATAAAAATGGCATGAAAATGTGAAAATCTGAATATGTTGAAAGACAAAATAGATGTGGAAATTACATGATCAGGAAAACATTATCACGTTCAATTGTATTAAATAAGATAAAACGATAGGTTTGTAAATGTACTGAAACACACATAATGAGAAAGGGTTGTCATCAAGATTAACAATAGCTAAAAAGCAATTCGTTTTGTGAAATGAAAAAACTGATAATTAAAAAGTACATTTAGATAAAGCAAATACATCAATACACATCAAAAGCATGTTGTTAAAATACATTCTTTTGTAACAAAAGAGCAGATCCAGAAAGTTTAATAGTAAATCCAGACAAACTAAAAAACTAAATGAAAATCTAGAAGTTTAAATAAAGATAGTTAAAAACTAAAGCTAGTAAATACAGATAGATAAATAATAGATCCTGATACTATTTAAAGCTATTCATAAAGAACATGTTTTTATTTATTTATCTAACTTCTCAATTTGAATTAAATGTTGAAAAACTGCTGATATAATGGCTTAAAGGAGTGACTAGGACAAAGAGACCATGACTCACAATCCTGGTACCTGTTTTCTTTTCAGCCAATAATTAAAGCCATGATTGATAACTGAACAGTAAAACAGTTTTACGTCAGACAAAACTGTGCCATGAGGGGGTATCCATCTTATGTTAAAATAACTGGTTGCATAGATTTACTGACTGTATACATAAATAGAAGTATATATTGCCTGGGTCTACAGAATTGTCAATAATGCCCATATTGCTCCCAAGATTTACTGAGAAGAAAAAAACGTTCTTATTTATTTTAAGATAAAATAAAGAGCATTTCATCATTCAATGCTTTAATATTTGATTATATACTATTTAAGAATCTAAATGTACACTTACTGAAATAATATGGTAAATATTGCAGTAAAATATACCTTTCAAATAAATATCATATTAATTTGAATATACCAAAATGAAGATTGACTTTGCCATCATTTTTTTTTCAAAGACACACACAAGATATAACACAGAAATAATTTATAAATAACTTAAACAACTAAATTAGCACATTCAAATAAAAAGACCTAGTGGACAAAGGATGTGTATGTTTCAATATTAGATATAGATACAAATGAATTGTTTTATTTATTTCAAATTCATTTATCAACCTTTATCTTAAACCTGTTTAAATGTGTCTGAATTTAAAGGAACCTCACTAGGGTCCAAAAAGCATAAAAAACATTAAATTTGAGTTTTTAACATAGATCTGCCACACATTATACGTATTACACGATTTTAGAGCGTTAAAATCTGTAACAGGTAAAAATTATTTCCATGTCTTTGTTGATAATTTGTTTAAAAAATATGCATTTTATTTTATCGATTTATTTGTCAATGCATCTCATACACTATCATTATTTTATTTCATGATTTCGATGAACAAAAATTCATTTATATATAGAGTCTAAGTGGAATCTAATGTTTGTATGTATCATGTTGTCGATGATGATCATGTACAACAAAATGAGGGAATTTAAAATAGTGACAAATATATCACAACAAATATTTTTCTAACAAAGTCTACAACCTTTCTAATTAACATTAACATGTTTTGAAGAACAAACAACAAATTTGGCACTTCTTACAAATAAAGTAACATGACATGATTTGGTTCTCTGTTAAAACATATCATTTCATTAGTAGACATTAAACAATTTAATTTTGCTCAATTATGAAATGTAATGGTACCCTGATTTTTTGATGTAGAAAAAGCCTAGCACAGGTGACACACTATAACTATGACTGTGCTTGACAAGAAAAAAATACTTTTTTGTTCACACATTACCATATGATATATCATTAAAAAATATACAAAAATTCTTCCTAATTTAGCAATAAGGATGCATACTTATCCTATTTTATCCAATATTACTTGTTCACTAGTATTCTCAAAATATAAACATCTCAACTTAGTTTAATACAAATTCATCAATTACTTAACAATGAGATAAAATCAATCCTTGTCTGGAAAAAAATTGGACAAAATGTAATCCCTCAGAACCATCTAAAACAACAAAATAACATGAAAATTGCAGACACGGTTTAATTGAGTCTGTACATGAGGGATAATAATGAAAAAAAATGCAACATCCCTTACTCCCTAAAGCATCGGCTTAAGCAGAACTCAATATTCAACTCTTTAAAGTGTTGTAAGCCATGTTTACTGTCTTCATAAATTCACACAAAGCAAGAAATATAAATGCCATAATCAGAATATGTGATACATTTTTGTACTTCTATACTAAATATTGTGATTCCATCATTTTTTACTCAAGTCCAATAAATTGTAATTTTCTGTCCTGACCAGAATAGTATTTTACCATCATTATTTATTTAAGTCCAATAAACTATAGTTTTCTGTCCAGATCAGAATTCATTCTACCATCATTATTTACTTGAGTTCAATAAATTGTAGTTTTTTGTCACATTCAGAATACAGTTACATTATCATAATGTACTAGAGTCCAATAAATCGTTGTTTCCTGTGCACGACTGTTGAGGAGAGGGTATAGTCCAGTTTCTAATTTGTTGATTAATGTCCAATAACTGGCTATATAACAAACCAATATCAAACTCCACCTTTGTTAATACAAATACACCTGAAACATAACAAACATAGTAGATTTAATATCTTGATAATTACATTTCTACATTAATTAATGATACAATATTTTAGGTAATCAATAATAATTGCAGTTTGTTTCTTTAACAGAAATAACATGCTTGAAAACTGAAGAGATTTCTCTAAAAATATGACCGAGATATTTTACAACTATGAGATATTGATAATATGACTGTACTGGTACCTGTTTTCTTTTCAGCCATTTCAATACAAAACACATTGAGCAGGGTAACAAGGTCATCATCCTGTGATTGTCCAAACATGTCACCAGGCCACATTGTCCTGAAATGTTTACAAATTCTAATAATATACTGGAAAGCATATAGTGAAGTTTGAAGGTAACTTTTCATTTAGTGATGAGCAACAATTTTTCATCAATGTTATTTACAAGGATATAATTATGCTGTAATGATACAAGGGTGTCTTTAAAAACATTTCAGGACAAGCAATTATACTGTTTTTAGGTCCGTTTTGTCATAACAATCCTTATCTTGGTGAAATTGAGGAATTTGTATTCTAATTACAGACAACTATGAGCTTTGGTCATAATGTTCAGTAAGAATGGGTATTTTTTTTATAATTTTTCATGTAAGTACATTTTGTACCAGTGTTCATTTATCAATTAGCCCTAGATAAAACATTTTATTCATTTATTTATGTTAAGAACTGTTTTTAACAAAAACCGGTTGCCATCAAGACTTACAATACCCTAATAGGTTTTGAACACAGAAAAGAATACCTCTTGTAGTGTCAGATTTATGTCCCGGACAAAGTTCAAAGTGTAACTAGAAATGTGTCATCATGCCACGGATGCCCCCGCATGCAGCCAAAATTTCAGATGCCAAAATTTCAGATGTTATAATATTTAGTTCCAAATTTGTTTGCACAAATTATTTTTTTCATTTTAAGTTCAAAGCCCTTAAAACTTTTCAATGTTAACACAAACCATTTTTATACAATGTTCAAGGCACTGAAATTATTTAGTCTTAACCTTTTGTAAATTGCATATTGCATATTTGTAGTCAATACAATGGCTATATACATTTCCACAAAAGTACGAGTGCTGAAACTTTCAAAATTTTTCCAACATTTAGGAAAGATAAGTTTGTCCAAAATCATTGAACCACGACCAAATTCAAACTTAAACTGCTATTCCTAAGATGTATCTATATGTTAAATTTGAGTTGAATGTGTACAACTATTGGGGAGATAATGAACGGAAACTTAAAATTTCTGATTTTTTTCAAAGTTCAAGAGGGATAACTCTGTCAACTATCATCAAACCATGACCAAATTCGAAATTGACCAATGCATTCTTATCATATCTTTAATTTGAGTTGAATATGTACAACTGTTGGGGAGGTAATGAATGGGAACTGAAAATAACTCTGCCAAAAATCATCAAACCATGACAAAATTCAAACTTGACCTGCGCATTTCTTTGATGTATCCATATGTCAAATTTGACTTGAATGTGTAATACCCTAGAGGAGAAAATGAACGGAAACTGAAAATTTCATATTATTTTCAAAGTGGAAGGGACAAAACTCTGCCAAAAATTCATCGAACCATGACCAAATTCCAACTTGACCTGCCCATTCCTTTGACATATCAGCATGTCAAATTTGAGTTGAATATGTAACACTGTTGGAGAGATAATGAACAGAAACTGTAATTTTCATTTTATTTTCAAAGTGAAAGGGGGCATTACTCTGCCAAAAATCATTGAACAATGATTAAATTCCAAATTGTTCTGCACATTCTATTGACATATCTGTATGTCAAATTTGAGTTGAATGTGTTATACTGTTGGGGAGATAATAAACAGAAACTGAAAATTTCATATTATTTTCAATGTGAAAGGGGCATAACTCTGCTAAAAATCATTGAACCACGACCAAATTTGAACTTGACCTGCGCATACTTTTGAAGTATACATATGTCATGTTTGAGTTGAATGTGTTATACCATTGGGGAGATAATGAATGGAAACTGAGAATTTCATATTATTTTCAAAGTAAAAGGGGCATAACTCTGCCAAAAATCATCGAACCATGAACAAATTCGAATCTGACCTGCATTTTCTCATGACATATCTATATGTCAAATTTGAGTTGAATGTGTGCAACCGTTACTAAGATAATGAACAGAAACTGATGATGACGGAATGACAGAATGACGGAACAGGGTAACACTATATGCCCCGGCCATTATATGGCGGGGCATAAAAATGAACAAAGGGCAATAACTCCAATTTAAGGCAAGGCAGAGTTATGGTTATTTTGCACTGCATATCTACCCAATGAGATCTATCTTCCAACATAGTGTCTTGTTCATATCTATCCTACATTCAGAATAATATCCTGGACAATGTTAAAAGTGTAAAAATGAACAAAGGGCAATAACTCCAAAATTAAGCAAAGCAGAGCTACTGTTCGTTTGCACTGCACATCTATTTACTGAGATCTATCTACCTACAAAGTTCCTTGTTAATACCTTTCATGATTTCAGAGCTATGTCCCAAACAAAGTTCAAAGTGAAAAAATGAACAAAGGGCAATAACTTCCAAATTAGGCAAGGCAGAGTTATGGTTCTTTTGCACTGCACCTAAAACCAATAAGATCTATCTACTCATAAAGTTTCATGTTGATATCACTTATAGTTTTAGAGTTATGTCCCAGACAATGTTCAAAGTATTAAAATGAACAAAGGGCAATAACTCCAAAATTAAGCAAAACAAAGTCACAGTTCTTGTGCACTAAACATCTACCCAATGAGATCTATCTACCTACAAAGTTTCATGTTGATACCTCTTGTTGTTTTAGAGTTATGTCCCGGACAAGAATAGCAGATGGACAGACGGAAGGATGTTCCAACATTTTGGGTTAAGGGGCTTTATTCTTTTGTCTGCTTAAGGGCTACTAGCCAATACACCCTTTGATCACGAAATGAACCTATTGTTCTCTTTTGTTCTTTTTACTGTTATATAGCCCCTAAACCCAATATGTTTGCTCGGACAAAGAGATGAAAAAGCGGCCACTATAATTTCATCATTTCGAGTAGGATAAAAATATGGACAAGAACTTCAGTCCATTTTTTTGTGAAATTGTTTATAAGTCATAGATTTTCAACAGATTAAATATACTGTTGATATCAAATAGGTTTTAAATAAATTACTTAACAAAACAAGATATGTTCGTAAAACATGTATGCCCCTATCGGCAGCCAATTAGTCATGTGATCAGGTTATTATGCATGACTTCTGACCTAGTGAACAAAAAACAAAAAATCAATAAGGGTTATCTACTGGTCATGACTAGTCATAAGGTAATAATTATTGTGACCGCATAGCAGCAATTTAAGTTTTTACAAATTTTACCAAATAATACATGTATATGCATAAATTTTATGAATCATGTAGGCCTCATTAATGACAGCCAAGTTGTTATATTACATAAGACTTTCAAATGTGTACAGGAAAAGCATTTTTAGTTTAATTATTATAAAAATATCAACCAAGGGCTACTTGAGTTGTTGAGTAATTGGTAAGAAACCATCTTTAGATGCCATCAAGACTCACAATAACCCAATAGGTTTTGAACACAGAAAAGAATACCTCTTGTAGTGTCAGAGTTATGTCCCGGACAAAGTTCAAAGTGTACCTACAAGGTCAATGTGACCTTGACCTTAGACCCCTTGACTCCAAAATCAATAGGGGTCATCTGCTGGTCATTACCAATCATCATACCAAGCTTGAAGTTCCTAGGTTTAAGCATTCTTTAGTAAAGTCAATATGACACTGACCCCTTGACCCCAAAATCAGGGGTCATCTACTGGCCAAGACCAATGCACAAACAAAGTTTGAGGGCCAGCAGATATAAGCTTGTCAAGTTATTAATCGGAAACGGTTTTCACCTACAAAGTTAATATGACCTTGACCCCAAAATCATTTTTTGTGGGGGTTACGTCGCATCAACACAGTATAGGTCATATCGCGACGTTCCAGCTTTACTGGTGGAGGAAGACCTCAGGTGCCCTTTCTTGCATTATTTCAGGTAGAACGGGCACCTGAGTAAAACCATTGACGTTCCGTAAGCTAGCTGGACCCCAAAATCAATAGGGTCATCTGCTGGTCATGACCAATCATCACACCAAGTTTGAAGTTCCTAGGTCTAAGCATTCTTTAGTTACTGATCAGAAACCTTTTTTACCTACAAGGTCAATGTGACCTTGACCTTTGACCCCTTGACTCCAAAATCAATAGGGGTCATCTGCTGGTCATGACCAATCATCATACCAAGCTTGAAGTTCCTAGGTCTAAGCATTCTTTAGTAAATGATTGGAAACCGTTTTTACCTACAAGAACAATGTGACCTTGACCTTTGACCCCAAAATCAATAGGGGTCATCTGATGGTCATGACCAATCATCATACCAAGTTTGAAGTTCCCAGGCTTAAGTGTTCATAAGTTATTGATCGTCAACCGTTTTTACTTACAAGGTCAATGTGACCTTGATCTTTGACCCCTTGACCCCAAAATCAATAGGGGTCATCTGCTGGTCATGACCAATCATCATACCAAGTTTGAAGTTCCTAGGCCTAAGCGTTCTTTAGCTATTGATCGGAAACCATTTTTACTTACAAGGTCAATGTGACCTTGACCTTTGACCCCAAAATCAAAAGGGGTCATCTGCTGGTCATGACCAATCATCATACCAAGTTTGAAGTTCCTAGGCCTAAGCATTCTTTAGCTATTGATCGGAAACCGTTTTTACTTACAAGGTCAATGTGACCTTGACCTTTGACCCCTTGACCCCAAAATCAATAGGGTCATCTACTGGTCATGACCAATTATCATACCAAGTTTGAAGTTCCTAGGCCTAAGCATTCTTTAGTTATCACCCGGAAACCAATTGGTCGACTGACGGACGGAGAGACAAAAGCAAAGCAATATACCCCCTCTTCTTTGAAGTGGGGGCATAATTACTCTTCAAAGGATATCTAAAACAAAATAATTAAATAGTTCCCTAACATACCATACCTGAAAGATCTGACAAGCTGTATTGCTTTTTGGTATTGTTGACTTTTGATATACTCTGTAAGACTGGAGAATGCATCTTGTTTTGTGACAGGTTTCGGGGAGTCAACATTCAGTGGTGATGCCTGGCCATTCTCTAGCTCTGACATGGCAGCAGTGACTTCCCCTTTAATACTCTCAACTTGTCCAGAAATATCATTCACCTAAATAAAGCAAAAGGTATACATATTTTACTTGTTCAGAAATATCATTCACCTAAATATAGCAAAATGTACACATATTTTGCCCATCATTAAAATTTTATTAATCTGTCACTATAAAGCAATGTGGCTCTCAGTGGTAATTAATATTTCTAAATGATGAAAACTAGAAACATTAACTTTTATGTGTACATCTTATAATTATAAAATGAAACGGGACAAATGAGGCAAGTAATTCTTTACAAATCACAGACAACTATGTCTAGGTAAGTAGCTTTAAACCTATGAGTTTTGCGAGTGGTTTTGAGAGTGGTTTAAAATAAGCGATTAGAAAGATAGTTTAAGAGCAGCATTTAGCACATTCAAACTTCTGAGCTAAATGAACCGTAACCTTGAAATCATCATTAAAATTATATGAAGGCGATGTCAAATCATCTTAATGATATACCCATATATCATAAATCATAATTATCTTTCAATGGAAGTTAAAAACCCTAATTTGGGGGTCTATTCAATCTGCTGTAAATGCTTTAAACACACATTTACAACCCCTTCAATTTATATAAATATCATTTGTGATCCTTATACATGTATAAATCATTTTAAACAATGTGGACAAGTATAACCTAACAGAAGAGTTAATGATTTATAAAACAATCAACAATGAATAAGAACAAAAGATTTAAATCTCATATAAAAACTAGGTCTCTTAAATATACTAGTTTTAAACACAATACCAAAATCTGATTAATTTTCAAACCCTATGCACTTGTATCAACTAAATAAAAGACTGTTATCTCTAATAGTTTGAAATGTATACAATTCTAATAATCAATGTTAACCTTATGCTCTGCTCAGAGCGATGAGAATAGGTAGGTAGGTAAGGTTAGTAAATGACTCTATTAAATTCCATGAAGGCATAAATCCAATAGTTACAGCAAAATATTTACATTATACCTTGCGAAAAATTAAGACATTACAGTGGATGATTTCAAACCCGTGACACAATTTTGAGGATAACTTAAGGTAGGATGATTTCCTTTTTGTTTCTCTTAATATTTAAATTATGCATAAACTGCTCTTTTTAAAGCATGGTGGTTTTGGTTTTAAGTTCTATGGTAAGAAAATATTGTTGACAAATTTAGGTTTATGAAATTTCAACACATAATTGAATAGGACTTTTTTAACAATGTTTAATACATAAAAGCATATAAATAGTACTTTTTAAACAGTAATGATGATCGCACAAAATTAAAGATTTTTATTCCATATGTTTGGGTTTTGTGCTGTCTGTCTGTCTGTCTGTATGTCTGTCTGAAGACAACATTTACATTGAACACAGCATCTACTTTGTATAAACTTGTCATAATTGATTAATTTATAGTGTTTGTTTCCCCTCCCACTTCCTTATCAGAAATATAATTGCTGCCTAAAAAATTAATTATCAATATAATAAAAACACACAGAAAAAAATTATATGCAATATAAAAGAATATTTTAAAATAGCGGAAGATTCACTCATTTTGGACATAAGTCAATCAATACGTTAATTAGGTAAACTTTTATAAACAAAGCTCGACTTGTTACAAACATAGTCATCATTTTGACACATGCTATTAAGTGATTATCGTCTGGTTTGTGTTTTTCACACCTCTGCAGGGGAGTGACAAAAAATTATTAGTCGAGATAAAGAAAAGATAATATAGCATGAAAATTACTGTCGGGGCTGAAATTTTACTTCGAGATACTGAAAATATCGAAATAAAAATATCGATCTAAACAAATATTTCCAATAAACATAAAGAATGAAATAAATCGGGACTTTCAAAATTTAATTGAGATAACGAAATATTGAGAAAAGCAAGTCAAGATAACGATCGTTGACTGTATTTGTACATCTTAATTGATGAGGTATCATAACACAACAAATATTTTAACATTAACAAATACATAAATATAAATTTAAATGAAAACCATATGGATCTTATTATGTAGTAAGAGTGTTATACATGTATTATACGAACAAGTCTAAGATGTCTTATAGCTAATATATATATTTTTTGCTCAACCTTTTACCTCAAACAAGCCATAAATGTTAGCAAGTTACTACCTATGTTTTGAATTGTCTGCTAGAGTATGATTTAATTACATATATACCAAAAGGCAATTTGCCAAACATTCAATACATAGTAATCTATTATTATACATTTTAGGTAAAACATGGCAGTCTCAGGAAAGAAAGCATCAAAACAATTTTCATCATCTACAACATCCATGGCATCAGATGAAGATCTTCAAATTTACTGCCAGCCTTGTGACGAGGAAGGACCTAGACTACCTGCCCATGGTTACTGCACTGACTGCAAGGAACACCTCTGCAAGAATTGTTTTACAGCACATAAAGTGAGTAGGCTTTCAAAACATCATACACTTCAGGACGCTGCTAATATGCCTAAAGTATTGAAGCAACCATCAACACCCACCCACACAGACCAGTCTGATGTCCTGACCTCACCATGTCTTAAACATCCACAAGAAATGATCAAGTTCTACTGCATTGACCATAAAAAATTACTTTGCAGTGTTTGTGTTACCCTTGAACATCAAGCCTCTTCCTGCAAAGTTGATTATATACCAGACATCTCTGGTGATATAAAAGACAGCAAAGAATATCAAGTTATCTTGAATGCAGTAAATACCACTTCTGACCAATTTCAACAGATATTAAAAGATGTCAAGAGCATGACATACAAATCCAACAGCTCTCTCAAAGATACCTTAGCAGCAATCAAAGGGTTTCGGCAAGAAATCAACCGAAGACTAGATGTACTTGAGAGACAGGTTGAAGATGAAGCTAAAGTCATAGAACAAAAAAACAACAAACATCTGAAAGCAGCAGAAACAACATGTGAAGATATGAGCAAATTTCTGAGAACATCATCAGATAACATCAAACGACTAAAACACATCAAAACAGGCCAACAAACTTTTTCATGGGAACTTAAACTTGCAGAGAAAAACAATACAAAATGTGGAGGGAAAAATGCAACAACTTTTATCGTATGATATAGAAGAGTATATCTTTCAATCCAATGATGTAATATTAAATTTCCTTAAAACAGAAAAGTCACTGGGTAAATTGACACATAAAACTTTAAATGAAAAAAATCCTCAATCTGTACAAGTAAAGTCCTAGGGCATATCTTCACATGAGGGAGAAATTCTGTGTGGGAATACTCAAAAATAAAAATTATGGTGCTGGTAAACAGGAATGATTATGTTTGGTTCTCCTGAAATTCTTCCCTTATCATCAACTGACCTTAAACAAGGGGCTGTAAAGCTGTTGGATACCAGGCAGTGGTCCCTTTGTTTGATCAACTAAATAGAGACGTACCGCGGGAATCACCCAGTAACCAGTATGAACTTGCCTGTCCCTTTCCTGAATACAAACAAACAATTTATTTTTCAATTCATTAAACAAACTCAAATTAAGAAGCACACTGTGAAAGGTTTATGGGAAATTGTTATGGTGTAGCTGTTTACCAAAGTAAATTGTTTGTGGTCCATTCCTTGGATCTGCAAAAACCTTTTAGATCCCTTGATATAAAATTGGCACTATGCTGAAAACAATTGAATGGAAATAATAATATTTTTCAATATGCCGCCCATTTTTATGTCACATGTAACAGAAGTTCTATCTAATAGTATCTGACTGTGACATGAAGGACAGTAAAAGATTAAACTGGCAAGGGTGAATGTGAATAGGTAGTTAATAGTGGTTGTATGGGGTTTACCCTTTTAGGAATGTCCACAGTCAGATGATGGTACTGTCTTTGGTGAGTGACCCGGACAGAAAATGTTATAGAAGGGGAATATCAGGAGAACTGTTTCTAACAGGAAATGTTGGTGATGCAGGATTCTGAAGAGTCCCAAGGGCTGATATGTTCGGTGCGGAAAAACAAAGAAGCTGTATTACAGCTTGTAATATTGCAGATGAAAAAAGTATGGCAACCCCCCTTCACATCTCTAAACTGTCGTAGAACAATAAACTTTACTGTTTTTATCAAGACAGGTTACCCCAATTAACTGGTACGTTTGTTATTTTTGTCCAACATTAAAGTGGGTTTAGATTTTTCCCGTAAAACACATTTTCCATAAGGGTTTTAAAAAAATTTCTAAAAACAAAAAAAATGTATCATTTTTGGAATTGTTTTAATATTGCTTGGAAATTTTTTTAATGTTTTACCCCAGTATAAAATAGTAAAGAAACATGTAAAATGATGGAAAAAAAATATGTTTTTATTTGAAATTTTTTTTTTTTTTGAATACAAATATATTATTTCGGATCAAAGTGTTTTCCCACCTGCCCAAAAATTCCCTGTTTTAGTTTTTTGTGGATTTGGAAAGTTTTAAATCTAATTAAATTTAAAACTATCAGCAAAAATTTTTTTTATTTTTATTACATTACAAAAAATCCCCTTAAGACTGTTTCCCCTTTTTAAATTTTAAAAAAAATTAAAATTTTTGGTTTTTTTTATCAAAAACATTATACAAAAATTAAAGGAAAAAAAATTTTAAAGGAAGAACTTTCTTTAAAATATTTTAAAAAATTATTTTATTTTTGGTTTTTTTTTTTAAAAAAAATTAAAAGTTGAATTTTTCAAGAAATTTTTTTATGGAAGGGAAAAACTTGTTGATAAATTTTTTCAAAAAAGCTCTTATTTTAAAAATGGGGAACAAAAAAAACCCAATAATGAAAATCTTTTTTCTACCGTAAAAAGTAAAAAAATTAAAACAAATGCAAATTTTTAAAATTCCCCTTTTTAAAAAACCCCTTTTTAAAGCCCATTTTTAATTTTAATAAAATTCCCTTTTAAAATACTTTTCAAAGAAACTTGCTGGATATATCACTTGGATACTTTATCACTATAGGAACAAATTCTAAAGTTCTGTTTTAATATCAGTCTCTCTATATATGTATCTGTCAATTACTAAAGTCAGTTATACTGGTGGTTTTACTATTTACTAACTGTGAAATACTTGAACAATCTTAAATTTATTTTCTTACATAGATACACACAAAACATATATATACCCTAAACTTAGTGATAACTAATGTAATAATTTATATATTACTTTAATTTAGTACAGGACAATGTCAAGTTACATGTCAGATACCTATGCTCTTGACATAATTTTATAGAAGATTTGTAAAGATTTTATTTTTAAACTATTATCAGCTCATGTGAATTACTTGTGCATCGGACTGGCATCATTTATATATAACTTTTTTACAGGGTCATTTTAGGATCATTCCTTCGGGTCAAAATTCACACATTGTTTAAGTAAATGCTGTTTATATGAATTGTTGAGAACAACAGACAATTTGCAATGAGTACTTGATGCTCATGTGAGCTAAAAAAACAAAATATAAATCAGAGAATCTTTAGGATGTTTACCTGTGAGGCTGTCTGTACAAGTTTGAAACAATCTAGTAGCTTGATGTAACTTTCAAACAGCATAACGAGTTTGAAAATTAGTTTATATAACTTTTGACACAGATCTAATTTCTGTGAAAAAAAAGAGAAAAAAACCTGATAAAATGTATCAAATTTTTCTACATGTGATTTTTTGTTTGTTGCAAAATAAAGTTTGATTTTACAAAGTGATAATTATTTTGAATCATGATTGTCCCCAATCTCTAACCTGAAATACATTGATGGCAGTCACACTTATTTAATATAAAAGAAATTTTGGGTTTAATGTCCCAACAACACTTTAGGTTATATGGCGACTTTCCATCCCTAGTTAGTAACACTTATGGTGACACAGTAATGTAATTTAAGTTTTGAGTCGTGTTCTATGTTTATATCAAGGGTATTGAATTAATTAAGATTTCTAAAAGAATAAAGGTTTCATATTAAAAGACACACATTCACCTTGTGGTCCTCTACAAATGTTACATAAATCGTTCCCTTTTTGTCAAAAATGGCCCACCCTATGTGTCACTTAGGCTATCAAAATATTACCTGTTCTTCACTACATTGTATAGGAAAGCTTCCACCATCACCAAGTGATTGTTGTTTAATTGATACCTTGATTTCTTCTAAACTCTAAAACATAAATTTACATTAATATGAAATAATTCAGTGATAGTTAATACTGACAGCTTAATTCCTAATTGTATGAGAAAGCATTACCTAATGGTTCTTATTGTTTTATTTCAAAATTTTAAAATTGAGATGGATTGAGTAGAAAGCTATAAATTATCTTAATCCAAGTCAGTATTAAAGGGTATCAATCTTTGTCAGTAGAATTGTTGTTTTTTTATTGATAAAATCAATAAAATCATACCAAAGTATCGAAAATGAAAGGCTGTTTAGTTGATGGGGTATTCACAAATGCAAAGCAAGACTTTCTAAAATCAGCAGTAGAAAATGTTTTGTCTGGGAAAATTTTATTCTAGTTTCATTTATAATTCATGCGTGAATATATACAAACATCTTAAAATTTTTCTCCAGGTATGATCATAATATTGTGAAATCCAATTTATTTTACAGTTTAATTTTTTAGTATATTTTATCACTTTCAGCTTTACAACAAGTAAAGCCGAAACATTCAACACTCATACAGGAATAAAACTTTATCTAAAAAAAGATTTATAGGAAATAACTAGTTGTTCATTTTTATATTTTTCTCTAGAACAAAAGTAACAAACCTGTTCAGCTTGGTCTTTCCTCATACAGTAGGTCTCAAAACATTCCTGCATCTCTAGTAGACTTTACTTGTGTTTGTCTACCACTCTACTACCAACCAACTAAATATATAAATAGATAATATTAATATATATATAATTTTAATAATGTTCATTAAATAATAGAACACCTATGTCACAAAAGTTTCTTTTATAAACCATCACTCAGCTCATGCCCAAAATATCACAATTATCACCTCTACACAGAAGATCAATAAGATAATGCTGAATAAACCGGTGAGAATTATTTCTATTTTCATTTTAAAAAGGACACTTTGTTTTTCTTGTTCAGTATTACGGAGCACCAACACAGTTTATGTGATAAAGGGCTGGAACAGGAAAGATGATTTTGGCCAACCTCGGGTGTTACAAACGTTAAGCAACACCAAAAGTGTTAAAACTACTTCACCTGCTGGAGGTTAAAGATGCATAGCATCCAATAATTCGGATTCATTTAGTCACCTCTTATGATTATGCAGGGTTAAACTATGGCTACGATTCTGATGGCTCAACACCAAAACCCTCAGCCAAAAGAGGTGCTCAAAAGAACAAAAGGACACAATCAAATTAATTTGGATTGACTAAAAGGTGCATAATAAGTTGATTATATCTCATTAAGTTAATTTGGATGGACTTGAAATAGCAATTCAAATTAATTTCAGTTTACATTTAGTACTAATATGTAAAAAAATCTACATAGATCATGGTTTTGTTTTATGAAAATTACCAATGTATTTTCTCAGTAAAAATAGCTTATTTAGATATGTGTACTCGTACATACCAAATCAGTTTCAATGAAGAAATATGGACATTCCAGATGAGTAAACATGGTATCTAATGCCTGCAGTAAACTAAGTTAAGGTCAAAATAAAATCAATAACTTCTGTCAGCACTTTTATCAATGGCAACTATATTGACTTACCTATACTTCCCATATAAAATAAGGCAAACATGTATACCCATGCAGTCTGACAAGATCTTGTCCTATTTTGTTTGTTTTGTATGTTTTAATTCATATATATATATACAAATTCAGCGAGGGAAATGGTTACACAGGATAATATTAAAAGTTTTATGAATAACTGTTTATATAGCAAAACTGAGGCTTCATAAATACTTGCGCAAGTTTGTGACTACAAATCAAACTTAAAATAAACTTTACAAAGGATATACAATTGAGCTCCGATTTTTTTTCTGTCCCTCTGTTTTGGAAATATATATACACAGCATCTTTAATTTATATAGCAAGTTTTCTCCTCAGCTCCTGTACATAATGTATGAAATAGAATATTAAAGTGACAATATGCTCCTTTTTTGCTGTCGAGTTGAAGTAGTGATTAATTTCAACTACTGGTTATTATAATGGCGAATGACCAATAATTGATGATGAAAAATGATAATGATAAATAATCAATAGTACATTCCGAATGATATTTTCAGTTGGTTGTTTGAATTATTACTTTTTAAAGTAAAATAAAATACTGAAGGCAATTATTGCAAAATAACAACTTATTTTTATTTTAACTGTTCACTGATTATTAACCAAATACCTGATATGCACGCCTTTTTACGCCCTTTTCATCCCCATTTGTTGTCTCAAATGGTGAAAAAATACCTTATTTATGGCCCAAACACTTGTTTTTTGTTTGAAAACGTTGTTTAAAAAAGTGACCACTCTTTCGCCTCGCCTAATCCAAAAGATACATAGGGGGTTGCCAGAAGGGGGATGTCCCCCTTTTATTTCTGGAGGGTTTGAAGGGAAGCGGCAGTCCCGCTCATCACCAAGAATATTTTGGACTTATGAGAGGCTAAAAATGACCCCAGGTCGATTATAAGGTAACATTTAACCAACGCTGAAAAGCATTTGACTCTATCTCAATCCATTGAGAAGTTGAAAAACACTTTAAAATCAATTTTGATGGAAAAAATCAACGCAAAATAGTGATATTTGGCAATTTTGAGATGTCCTCTTGTAGCCATGGTAACAGGAAACTTTAGGCTGGGCATGTCGTTACAAAAGTAATGGTTCAGTCAACATTTGTGCCAAGATTGACTAGTATTGAAGCAGTTTTCATTGTTTTATAGCAAAGCACTCACCTGAGGACAGACTGTTATTTGTGTAAAAACAATGAAAACCTGTCGTTATTATAAGAATTTGAACGATGCTGGTCACAAGACCATATTAACTCTAAACAGACTTTGATATAAAATGAGTATAAATATCTTAAAGGAGTAAAATCGTGATCTAAGTTGCGTAAAGGCTCTACAAATTCATTGCAAGCAAAAGTATACATACAAAACACCACGCTTTGTGCGAGACAACCCTGATTATTATTTAACCAACTTAATATGAAATTAATTGATGTACAACTAATTTGTCACTGTTTATGGACTGATCGATTTTATGGTTTATATCGGAGGTCTGTTTATTCTTTTATTTTATAGCATTTAATATATTGATTAAAATATGTGCCAATAGTACGACAATCGAAATTCTACAATCAAATAATCATGCATATTGCTTACAAATGTATATCACTTTAACTTGATTGAGGACAGTTTACGTGAAATAGACTGCCCGAAAGCTTCAAATTAGAATAAAGTGTTACCTCGGAAGCATTAAAAACAGGAACATTGCATGAAAATTGCAGATTTGATTTGATTGAGCCTGTACATGAGGGATAATGAAAATGTTAAATATCCCTCATGCCCCCACCCCCCTAGCACTGGCTTGAGCGAACTCTATTCTCAACACTAAAAAGTGCTTGACCCAATGATCCCGAAAGACTAGAAAAATATAACAACACTGAAGTGAAGTACGGGACAACTAAGGCATTCTCAAAAGAAGTAAAAGTAGGACAATAACCTAAGATCTACAATTGATTATCGTAATGAAAACCTATATAGCAGAATTTTGCTCACCTGAGCAAAACGTGTTCCAGGTTACATATTGTTATAGGGCTCTGTCCGTTTTACGGACATCAACACTTCCTTACCTGCTGCTAAAATGTTTTTAAAAATTGTGGCAGAAACTAGAGCTTGTCATAAGTGCCCCCGACATGCGCTTGTCAGAAAACTTGCTTTTATAGGGAGAATGCTGTAGTGTATAGATTTTTTAAATGTTTTTGAATTATTTGTCCTACATCAATTAGATAGATTATAGTTTGGATTTGGAGTTTCCGGTTCTTCTGCACTGCACATCTACTCATTCAGATCTATCACTAATAAAGTTTACGTTGATACTTTTATAGTTCTCAATATTATGTCCGGACAAGGTTCCTTCAATATGTAAACATGAACTAAGGGCAATAACTCTAAAGTTAGGGAAGGGGGTTACGGTTCTTATGCACCGCACTTATACTCATTCAGATCTATCTTCCTGCAAAATGTGAAGCTGATATATCTTGCACATTCTAAGTTGGGTCCCGGACAAGAAAAATGTAACTGACCAACCAACCGACCGACTGGCCACCAGCTGACTCAAGTATACTCCCACAGACTTCATTTGTCGGGGAAAATAATAAACCAGACAGGAAGTTGTTCAAAGCAGTTTATATTCAATCAGAATTCTTGTTGTATTTATAACCGAAAGAAAGTCTACTATTCTAAAACTATACAAGACAGAAGCTTAAATATCTTGCATGAAACATTGTCCAGTGGGCCTGTACCCAGATTGCTCAAATTACGGTGTGACGTAAAACCCAAACAAACAAACTCCAGTAGCAACCAATGACTTTTAATAGAAACCTGTTATTTTCAATAGCAACCCCTGACTCTCCTTAGCAACTATTGACTTCCATAGCAACACTGCCTTCCCATAGCAACCAGTGACTTACTTTTCAAAATAACCATTGACTTACAGTATGAATTAGAAATTGCCATAGCAATACATCTTTCCATAGCAACCAATTAACTTCAAAAACAGCTATTAATTTAAATAACAACAATTGACTTAATTGACGAAACCATTAATCCCAAATTTAATTTCTATACGAACTAATGATGTTTCAAGCAACCAGTGATTTCTTTAGGACAATTGATTTTCCTTCACAAAAAGCGACCTCAATCGAAACAGTTAGTTACAGTAGCAACCACTGACTTACAAAGCAAGAAATGACTTCCCATAGCAACCAGTTACTTTTTATAGTAACCCTTTGCAGCTTTACTGGTGGAGAAAGACCTCTGGCGCCCATATGCGTATTATAGGCACAAACGGGCACCTGAGTATAACCAACTGCATTGTGTAAGCTAGTTTTATAGCTTTCTCGCATGAAAGAATCTGAAGAGGCTTGCGCGAATCGAACAGTGAAAAGTGGTTTGTAGTTAACGACCTTAACCTATCGGTCACAGACGCCCTTCAGGATCCATTGACTTTCCATAGCAACTTATGACTTTTCAAAGCAACAATTCACCTTCTAAAGCAAACATATCTTTCCTTAGCAACTGAAGACTTCAACAGTTACTATTGCCTTTCCATTGAAACAAGTCACTTCACAGCATTAATATTTTTCCTTAGCAACCAGAGAATTGCACAGCAACCATTGACTCCATAACAACCCAGAACTTCTTAACATTTGGTTTGTCAACAAGTGACTTTTACATGTGCAATATTTCAATTGAAGATATGAACTTTGATATTTGTTGACCTAGACTTTGAATGAATACCAGCTTTTCAATCACAGTTATTAATATAACTGACTCCTACTTTCCATTTAAAACTTTTTATTTTTGATTAAAGGAATGTTGATATTAAAACGCTTATAATGAAATGCTTACAGTTTAAAGTCTTATAAGAGTGATGGACGTATGGATGTAGTCTATGCTTGATGAGGCTTACAAACAATACCAACATAGAGAGTCTTGTAAAAACTTATAGGTATACAGTATAGCCTATCTTCATACTGCTGGAAGTGCTGGTGGCATAGGTTTGTTGTTATCAATATTTGCATTATAAAGAATTTGCTTTGTACACCTTGAAGTTCACCAAATGATTTTTTACTCATTCTAAATATAAAATGCTAGAAATGTTATTTTTGCCTTACATTAAACATAAAACAAACATTTAAAATAGGGTAAAGA